TCTAAAGTTCAGAGTTAGCTTGACACTTCTTAATAGACTTATAGACATGTAGGCCAGAGCGGGTGGGCTGGCCTTTGAAGACCTGTGGGTCTTGGAGGTTTTGCATATATGCATTCCAGAGCAGCTTGAGCTGCAGGTGAAAAGGGAAATCTAACAGCTGACAGCCATTACAGCTGCTGTTGATGTGAAAACAAGGCACTCTCAAAAAAACAGGAGAAGCCGAGCCCAAAGTACCTTCCTGTCTTCACTGACCTTCTCAACCACAAAATGTAGCATCTGCACTTTGAATAAATCTGCTGGGGTGGCCGTTTCTTTAAACATCATTTTCTTTGAAGATGTGTTTTTCTTAGGGCGTGTTGGATTTGCAACTGAAGATATTAAAATTCCATTGATCTCAAGTGGAGTTTGAAATTCAAAAGCTTTATCTTGAAATAGCTTATGACGATGTTCTTCAAGTTTCCCCCAAAAGCTTGTTGTCGACAGCGGTTTTCTAACTCATAAGTCTAAAACATGTTTCGAGATAGTGGTTCTCAAACCCGGTCCTTGTCTCAGGCCCCCTTTATACTCTTAAAAATGATTGAAGACCCTCGAGCATTTTTGTTTATGTGGGTACTATTTACCGTATTAGGGATTACCACTGAGAAATGTTTGATTACTTTTTAATTCATTTTAAGAGAACAGGAATATAATCATGTGTTAGAGAATATTTTTATGAAAAGTAACAGTATTTACCCAAAAATGTCTGCGTGAGAACGATACTTTTACATTTTCAAAGATCTCTTAATAGCTACCTAAATGGAAGACAGCTGAATTCTCATATGGTACTGTATTCATTCTGTTGTGATATCACAAGTCACACAGCCTCTGAAAACTCCACACACTAATGAGAGAATTTTAGTGAAAAAGGCAAATAATATCTCACTGTTATTATGAAAATAGTTTTTTGACTCTCAGGGGCCTTGGAAATGCCCAAACCACACTTTGAGAAACGCTACCCTAAAACGGAAAGCCTTTCAAATTTTGCATGCAGCTTCAATTGCTCTAAGCTTTCTTCTCTTTGAAGCAGGATGGTGTTCATGGCTCTTCCTTCCTGCATCCCCATCCTTCCATCTGAGCTCATTTCCTTCTGCCTGAATAATGAACACTGATTTTTTTGTTGTTTTTACTGAGGCTCTACTGGTTATTCCCTAACTGTTAATTTGTCTGAAATGTCACTTCGCCTTCTTTACTGGACGTTAATTTCCTTATGCATTGAATTCTAGATTGGCTATTAAGGTTTGCTTTTTCTTAAGTTTTCTGTGGTTTTATTTTGAAGTTTTGAGGTATCGATTTATTTTCATTTACCTGACTGCTTGGTTTCCATAAGGCTTTTTGAATCTTTGGTGTGGTTTTTTTTTTATCACTTTTGGAAAATTCTCGGCCAGCCATTTTCTAATATTCCTGTCCTCCTCTCATTTTCTTCTTCCAAGATTTCAATTACACATATGATAGACTTTCTCGCTGTAGTCTATCTCTCAACTCCTCTTTTGTCTGTTTCCAAATGGTTTCTTCTAACCTATCTTCCAATTCAGGAATTCTCCGACTGTCTAATCTGCTGTTAAACCCATCCAATTTCTATTTGGTTCTTTTTCAAATCGGCTAAGTGGTTTTCCTTTGTTTCATTTTTTATAATTTCCAGTTGTCTGAAATTTTCAATCTCGTTTTTATTTCCTGGCACATAGTAAGCATGGTTATTTTTAAAGCCTGTGTTTGTCAAGATCAATGTCTGGAGCCCCCGTGGAAGCCTTTATATTGGCTACTGAGTAGTATTGCTATGCAGAGAATCGATGCATAAAAACATGCAGAGCGAAAATATTAACATAAAGAGAAAAGGCAAAACCACCATGGGGACGCGAGATCCGACCTCTCTGCCTTCAACACAGCAAAGAAAGACGGTCCTTTTTACAGATTCACCACTGCGTCCGCGGTGTCCAGGACCTTCCCAGTTTCAGCACTGAAAGTCTCAAGGCCCGGACAAATCCGGACGGTTGGTCACCGAATTGTGACATACCCGCGGCGGCCGCTGGGGGCGCTGTACTTAATAGTTTTAAAATGTGGCTTGTATTTTGTCGGGGCGCCGCCGCTCCTTCCGCCTTCCCGGCCTGCCCCGCGCGGCGCCTGCGCGCTCGGTGACCTTCCGAGGCGGCTGTGCGGTTTCGGGTGGTCTGAGCCACCTTTCCTGTGGCGAGGTGAGCGCTGGCCGGGACTGGGCGGTGGGTGCGGGCCAGCCGAGTCGGTGCGGCGGCGGCACAGTGGCCGGCGGAGGCGCGGGGCTGGATCCGGGCCCGCGGAGGGGACCTGCGGCGAGCGGGAGCCTCTTCGGCCCCGCCGCGGCCCCAACTGACCTTGGGGTCCAACCCCTCCCGGTCCACGCGGGCGTTTCCTGCCGGGCCCCGAGGCCGAAGGGAGGCCGTCCGGGGCTTAACGGTCAGTGGGCAGCAGCGCCTTTTCCTTCGGCGTTGGCGTCCAACGCCGCCGCGCGCGGGCCGCCTTCGGTGCGGAGCGTCCTGCGGCCGTGGGAGGCTCGGCCACCCGGCTGGTCAGTGGTGGAGCCGGAGGCCCAGCCGGGGCGTCTCACCCCGTTTAGTATCTTCTCCCAGGTGCACCCCAGGTTCTCTCGCAACCCACTTGTTCCCCAAGTTATACTGTGCATGTGACAAGGCCTTGGGAGAGGGAAACGGGACCAAAACGGGATCACAGGGGGTGATTGGAGTAGAATGGAACTCGAGCCGAATCCTGGTCTGGGGCTCAGCAGGGCAGGCGTTTTCTCTCCAGTGTAAGGTCAGATAATGGTTCGCTGATAATGTGCTAGGAACTTTGCAGACCTAAGCGGGCACGGTGGACACCCATTTGACCTTTGAGTAGGATGGGCCTCTGAAGGAACAGTTCTATAAAACCCACACACAGAGCTGGAACATGTGGATGGACAGGGTGGATTCACGTGGAAAAAAGTGGGGGGTCTCACTTTAGTAAATGTGGGGAACATGTCACCTGTCTGGGCAAATATGACCACCTTAGTTATAGGAAAGCCGGGGAAAGGTGTTCGCAGTATACTAATAGCAGTCCAAGGTACTAGTGGGGAGAAGGCAGGGCCGAGGCGCCTGGGCCCTGAGCAAAACGTGGGGATAACTGACGTTTCTTTGAGCCCTTTTTATCTCCTTTGCACCCTCCAGACCCTCCTGTGGCCTCTCCTCGTGAGAGCAGCACCTCGAGGCCCCCCTCTTGGAACCCCGGTACTTTGGTGCTGTTGCTGCCAGCGGGCGTTTGTGGCGTTTCCTTCTGTGGCTGTGATCATTGACCGAATTCTTGCTCCACGCCAGGCGCTAGCAAGGCAGGGTTTCGTTTCCTTTTTAAATTCCGTCAGGGCGCCCTGTGGGGCAAGTGGCGGTATCCCTGTGTCACAGAAAGGGAAACTTCTGGAACGACAGCTTCAGGGACTTGGCCAGGGTCGAAAGAGAGCAGGCAGAACTGGGCTGGAACCCAGGAGTCCCAGACATGCAGCCTCCTTGGACCACCTTCCTCCACACTCGTCGCTGGGTGCAGGGGGCAGAGGATGCACTTGGTGCCTCTGAACTCTGAGGTCTGGGGCTCCCAGAGGCCTCCTCAGGGTCCTGTTGGGGTGCTCTCGGGCACCTTCTCGGGGCAGGGCTGGTGGTGTCTTGGACCCTTGTGCGAGGTGCAAGGATGGCTGGGGCGCGGATGAGGCTGCATCTCTAACTGAAGCCAGGGTAGCGGTTTCCAGTGAAATGGAAAGGGCTGGGTTAGTTACCCCGACAGTGACTTGAATGACTAGTTACTAGACCGCTTCAGATGTTACAAAGCTTGTTGGAATGGAAATGAGAGCATCTCATTTTAGAGTCTAGTCAATAAAAGTCACAAACATGATTTTGAGACCTGCACGTGAAAGTGAACTGTGTAAGTTCAGAATCTGATGGCTTTTCCCAGTTTCAGTCATTAAATATTTTTATTCATGAAAGAAGTTACAAGTGCAGCTCTTAGCTAGTGTCCTTGTATGCTATCTGCTTTGCGTTCAGCAGTCAAGACTGAGACACACGTAAAACACTGTGACTAGTTAATGACACTGTGTTGTTTATTGAAATTTGCTAATAGAATTTGAAGTTCTCACTGCCACCCCCCCCCAAAAAAAGATGTGATGAATGTGTTAATTAACCACACGAGAGAATCCGTTCCCCATGTATACAGATATGAAATCCCCACCACGATGTATACTTTAAATATCTTACATGTTATATGTCAGTTATACCTCAGAAAAGCTGAAATTTAACAGAAAGGACCAAGGCCCCTGATCAGCATCGCCCAAGCCTGGGTGTTAGTCTCACAGGAAATCACCACGTCTGGACCGTGTTCTTTTTCAGCTTTGAATGCCAACAGCTTTTCATCTACTGGTTCTTCAATTGAAAAGTTTGAAAGTGGTGTGTTATCTGGGGCATATTGTTAGTGGAGGGAGGCCACCTGAGAGGGGACTATTCCATGACACCTCAGGCCCGCACATGCTGGGAGAGCTCTGGGCGTGAAGAATGAGAGGTGCTGGGATGGCCAACACTGGGGCGTCGAGAGGCGAGCCCCCATGGGGTGCAGTAATGGCTGTGGGGAGTGGTGCTGGCACAAGAGGGGCTCCCTGTGGAATAGTGTGGGAAGTAGGGTGGACCTTAACAGGAAGTGGACGTGTCTTACCAGCGGAGCCTAGAACAAGGGCTGTGTAACTGTTCATCGCTGCCTTCCCTTTCAGATGTTGCAAAGCCTCATAAAAAATGTTTGGGCCCCCATGAAGCCCTACTACACCCAGGTTTACCAGGAGATCTGGGTAGGAATGGGCTTGATGACCTTCATCATTTACAAAATCAGGAGTGCTGGTGAGTTTCCCCATGTTTGATTCGTTAGTGGTCAGGAAGAAAATTATTTTCAAAAGCATCCCAATTGACATCGTAAAGGACTAGGAGTGGCCATCAGAACCCCAGCGGTCCTCCAGTAAAAGGCGGGGAGCACATGTCAGCTGGCAGACATCTGGGGACAGTTGGGGAAATTTGAACAAGACCCGGATATCAGAGAATTGTGAATTTCCTGGACGTGACGCTCGTATTTCAGGTACCTAGGAGATGTCCATAGTGTTGAGAAATGCAGGCTCAGCTAGGGGCGAAATCATGGCATGTGGTATTTTATTGTTCCTTTTCCATGGTTCTGAATGCGTGAACTATCTCCATGATAAAAGTCATTTGATTCTCAGTGGAGCAGAGATGGGGCCCAACCGTGTATTCATAAGTGATCGATTAAAGAGGGAAGAACAGAAAACTTTAAATTGCAAGACTATATTTCGGGGGGCGGTAGGGAGTTGAGCCCTGCCAATTCTGCACTGTTGAGCCGCTCACAGACATCTTTGGTAGAAATTTTACCGTGTCTTGGATTCAAGATGTCTGGTAACTCCTGCTTCCTGAAGGCTTCCTGTCACAGCTTTGCCTAAGTGTGAGCTCTTGAGCCAGTCAGACGTGGATTTCCACAACGAGGTGACTGAGGCTTTGTGGAAAGTGTTGATATGACCAAGTTTTTCTTTCCTTCTATTTTAGATAAAAGAAGTAAAGCTTTGAAAGGTAAGATTTTTGCTTTTTAAATGGGTGGGGAATGAAAAACTCCATCGCCCCTTTCCCTGACGAGGTCTGTCCCTGTTCTGAATTGACATTGGTACGTGGCTTAGTAAACATAGAAGACGCAATAGGGTCACTTCAGAAGGTGAAGTTCACTGCACCTGCTGGGAAAGAGAATTCTGAAATTCTGCTTCTTGTAATCTGAATGCTAAGAACCACCGCTCACCCCCTTGGGCCAAGTAAAGCTCCCATCTGCAGGGGTGATGGAAAAATGGATTCACCGGGGTAGCTGGTGCCACCTGTAGGAAGTACGGTTAGCTGTATGGGCCTGCTGCCCTGTGCACGTGCTCTGGGGGAAGGCACCACGTGAGTTTAGGTTCTTCGCCGTCTCCCAGAGGACAGGGAAGCTGTGGTCATTTGAGCCCTGCACAAACCAGGGCTGGCTCCTGACCTCTGTCTTGCTGCTGCATGCACAGTCGCTTACGCAGCCCCTTGAGCACACCGGGCGGGTTTGGAAAGAGCCCTCCATAGCCCTTCGTGCTGTCGAAGATTGTCGTTCACGCCTCTGACTTGTTACACTTGCGTAATTGGCTACTTCCTACCTGCTCCTCCTCTCCTGAGTCGTATCGTATTCTCTTCCAAAAGGCTCGAGTCCTGCTCCTGCCCACGGTCACCATTAGCCGGCTCTGCGCGGCGCGCGGCGGTCCGCCTGTACGTTTCACAAGCTCTGACAGATGGGACCATGGAACATCGCCGTGCGCTTGTAGAACTGTGTCCTTTGTGGCATTAATAAATGTACCTGTAAGACACCTGCTGCCTCTTCTCAGCGCCCCCGCCCCGTGTGACCGTTGTATGCAGGTCTTGGTGACACACAGCCACTCACTGAGCCTTAGGAATCCCAGTCACCGCAGGAGCTGGGGTCACACCTAGGCATGCACACGTCCGGTGTTCCACAAGAACTTGGCAGCCATGTCCTCCCTCTTACTCTGCAGCCTCCGAGCCCCCGTTTTGTCTTAGAAAATGAAGACAATCATATGCAAGATCTTAGAGTTACTGTGACGATCAGTAAGAGAAGGCTTGGGAAAGTAAATTTAAATTATTTGCAAATGAGGTGGTATTAGATGACATGGTGGGTGAGATGAGCTCCGGGAGATTTCGTCAGGAAGTCATGAGGCCGTGTACGTGATCTTGAACATCAGTGCATGTTTCTTCTGGTTCAGCAAATACCGTGTGGATACTGCATCATGCTTTTCTCCATCGAAAACAATTACCAAAGCCCCTGGAATTGCATTAAAAAAAAACATTCTAAAGCGGTAGCTTGGGATGGAAGGGAGTCCCACCTGAAGTCTAGCGCTTGACAGGTTGCTGGGGGCCTGGCCGAGGGACAGAAACAGTGGCCCCGGTCCGGTCTCTGGCTGTCTTTCTCTTTCTAAAGGCAGTGACCATCCCTGTCTCTCATCTGTTCTCAGGTGTGTCGTGTCAGGTGTGGCTGGTGGTCAGGTCCAACCAGTACCTGACAAGCGACTGCCACTTCCTGTGGGGTCTCTGAGTCTTGGCTGCTGCTTTTGTAAAATGCATGTCAAATCTACCTCCTCAGCCTCACTGACGCTTCGGGTCTTCGGCCCGGTGGGGGATGGGCATGAGAGCGTGGGACACCAGGTGGCAGCACGAGGGCTGGGAGATGGGGCAGGGTCTTCTCCATGAAGTGCTCGTTCTGCCCCCAGCGGGCGAATCAGCACTGTGGTCAGAAAGAGCGGATCTTTGAAACTGTTCTCAAACCCCAGCGCCCTGGCCTCGCCGGGGGCTGTTAGCGGGGACGTGTGGGCCCTGGGCTTTCCAACCCCGTCAGCGGGATTGGTGGGAGGGGCCTGAGACCCGTGTGTCTCATGGTCCTGGCCGCACTGATGCGCAGGGACCACGTGGAAAAGCGCTGGCCACGCAAACGGCCGCACCATCCAGAGCCCTCTGTCCCTTACTGCCACCCATGTCCCCAGGGCACCCTGGCGCGCCCACTCTGTCCTATGTATTGGGGCCCATCAGTCCTCAGAACCAAAGTAGAGCCTCAGCCCCCTCGTACAGCGGGAGGCGGTGCCGGGCCTGCGACTTGGACTCTGGGGGTCTGAACTCGCCCAGAAAGAGAGAGGTGAGGACCAAGGGACGCGGCCCGCAGAGGGGCAGGAGGGTGGTGTGCTGGCCCAGGGCGCACCCTGTACTGCCTGTGGGCTGCTTCAGTTGCCACCGGGGTGAACCAACGTCATCACAGACGCAGATCCGCCGTCACGGAGCACTGGGCTGTGCACCTTGTGTGGAGCAGGCTGAGGGGCTGAGGGGCCGTTGGGTTTTGCGTGTGGGGGAACTTAGACGAGTCGAGAGCATCCCCTGCTAGGTGGACCGGTCTGGCGGCTGCCGGCGTCACTGGCACTTTGTGGGTAGTGAGAACCGGGCAGGCTGGAGGATGTCGGGAGAGACCCCGCCCCCACCCTCGGAAATTTTTCCGGGGATCAGCCATGCCTTAAAAAGTGGAACAAAACAGTCTTCCTGCTACACCAAGTGGCTTCCTGTCCCCAAAACCCTAAGTGGAGACGGTTTCGTTATGTAGGGAAGTCGGCCTTCATTGCTAACCCAGAACCCACTGTCACACGCCACGTTCCTCACGCTTTGGGGACAAGCAGGTTGTGTGTGTCCTGGGGTGGCCTGGAAGTGGAGCCAGCATGCACCACCAGCAGATGGGCAACGCAGCTTCCTGTGGGTGATGGCACAAAGGTGGCTGTGCTGGGCACCAGGGGACAAAGGGGACCCTGTCCAAAGGAACACTAGGAGCACAGTGCTGACGGACGGGAGGCCTCACCTGCAGGGGTAGCGGCCGGTCCCAGAAGAAAGTTCAAGGAGGCTTTTTGTCCTAAAACCCACACATCCTTCCATCCTGGCCCCGTGCTGCACGGAGGACCCGAAAGGCAGAGGAGAGAGGACACAGCCAGGACATCCGAGAATGTCACTTTAAACAATGTGCTGTAACGTAGCCTCGAGGGGGCCTTGTTTTTGTCACTGTGTATCTCCGTTTCCCTCAATCGGAGCTCCAGGAAGGCCTGCTCCTGCCACCCGCGATGGGGTTGTGTCCTGGAGCCAGCGGAGCCTGAGTGCCAAGCACCTGCCCCAGGCCGTCTGCACTCACTTAACCTGCCCCCACCCTGTGAGCTCACACCGTCGCCTACTTCCCAGGCGAGGCGGTAGAGGCCCAGACGCCATGACTGGTTTGCATCAGAGGATAACTAGCTGGTTCCTGAACTAACAGAGTCAGGATTCAAAATCTGCGCATGTGCTCTAGAAGCAGACCTTGCGACAAAAGCTGCGGTACAGAGACGACAGGCACAGGCCCTTTCCTCTGGTGCTGAGAGTGGAGAACAGACTGGGAACACCTGGGCAGTGCTGGCACCGCACGCCAGCAGGGACATCTGTGCAGGACACACGGACAGGTGGGCGGTGCGGGCATCAGCACCTGCCCAGCAGCCAACCCCGACTCGGATCCTTATTATAACAGTCCATCGCAAAAACGCATTTCTGGTGCATTTAGGGAAATTTTTTTTTATTTTATTTTATTTCCCCTTTTTAATTCCTCCCCCTGCCCCCACTTCCACCCCTCATCTACGGATGTCGCCATCTCCTCTTAAGAGCTGGATCTCTGAAGGCGGGGCGTCTCCTCCCACACGCTCGCGGCGTGCACCCAGGGCCTGGCGCACCCGGGGTATGGTCCGTGGCTCCCCCTGGGGCGCGAACCCAGGACCTTCTGCGTGTAAAGCAGCCGTGCTGACCACTACACTATGGAGCCAACCCCCATCTAGGGAAATTTGAACATGATTCGGATGTTAAATTATATCAAAGAAGCATTCCTTTTACTGGGTTACTTACCACAGTGTAGGCACTGTGAGCTGAGGGCGAGGCGTGGGGGGAGGGCGGAGCTGGAGCTGGGCAGCCAGGCTCCTGGGCCCAGCGCGGCGCGCACAGTGCTGGCCGCGGGCAGTGAGGTGGAGAAGGTGCTGTCTGTCCCCACCTCGGTTCAGCGAATTCGGTCGCAACGTTGGGGTCGGATGGAGAGCTGGCCGGAGAGCTGGCCGGAACGAGAGGTGCTGAAAGTGGAAACAAACAAAACTTTTAAAAATACAGCATAAAGTATTTTAGGGAGTTTTATGCCAAGTAAAAAATTTTTTCTATTAGCTGCAGTCTCTGGGGACACTTTTCCTAAGAGTTGAATCTTGTGGCAATATCTTAAACCGGCACAGGTGACAAAATGCTTTTCGGCTACAGATGTGGTTAAAAGAACAGACTCGGAAGCCGTAGCTTCCTTCGCTCACGCTTTGTCACAAGCTCTTTGTATGGGCCATGCACGTGCCTGTCGCCCTTGGCCGCGGGGGTCCTGCCCCCTGAAGGCAGAACGCGTATTTGTGACGGTTTATAGGAAAAGCGGACTCCTGCGAACGCCCGGCTGGTGTGCAGCTGCGCCCTCCCATACCTGAGATCGTGCTGACAAGTCGGATCCAGCTCCAGGTGGCTCTGCCTCTACCATTCCTTACCGTGGGGCCTCGGCTTCCCCGCCCCCTCAGTGAGGGCGTGGGGTGGAAAGGTGTGCAGAACTGCTCTCAGCTGTCTATTCTGCAGCTGACGGACCTGTAACGAGCCTTAATTGCATAACTGGAAAATAAACTGAGCTGAGAAGGAACCGTAGGAGCGCGGGTCAGACGTTGCCGATCGCGGGAAGGGCGCCCATGTAGCCCCGTGCCTGATGGCGACCGTAGGACCGAGCGTGGGCACTTGGATTTTTGAAGGAATTTGATTGAGATGGGACGCCAGCTAATGGTTTCCTAGCTCTTGGGAAAATAGAATAAGGGAACTGTTCAGTGCCCGTATTAACAGTTACTCTGCAAATAATGACAGGGAGGCTGGGGATGGTTTTGGACCTCGCTAGCCAGGTGTCGTGGCTCTAGTGGCCCAGGACTCTGGTCCTTTCCTTTGCCAGCACAGAAACTTGATTTAGTGTGTGCCCCGGAGCTGATCAGTTTGGAGGTCCGGGAGACTGCTGCTCAAGCTGGACTCGCGGGGGCGATCGACAGACGTAGAGTAAAACTAAGTGACCAGGACATCACGTAGAGCCCAGGGAGTCCAGTCGATAATATCGTGATGACTTTGCACAGTGAGGGAAGGGCACTAGACTTGTGGTCCGGATCACTTCGTAAGGTACACAGATGTCGAATCACTAGATTGTACACCTGAAACTAATACGATATTGTACATCAACTGTAAATTTTTAAAAAAATAGGATGTTACTAAAAGAAAACTGTAACACGGGCCAGATGTTGAGACCTCAAGAAACTACAGTGAGAAGAGTAGATGAAGCCCAAGGCAAGGAGGAGAAAGGAAATAATAAAGATAGCAATAGAGCAGGAATCTTTAAATTAAAAAACAAACAACGGAGAAAGATCAATGAAAGCAAAAGCTGGTTCTTTGAGAAGATCCATTAAATGGATAAACCAAGGAAAAATAAAGGGAGAAAAAGAAATACTATCAGGATGAGGGAGGTGCATTACTACAGATTTTCCAGAATTTGAAAGGATAATACGGGAATATCACGAACAGCTTTGCACCAATAAATTCTACAGGGCGTGTGAAATGGACAGAGTCCGCTCGCTCAAGCAGAATAGAGACCCTGCACAGCCCTATGCGAAGTGCAGTAAAGCAGATCAGTGGGTGCCCGGATGGGAAGGGACCAATCACAAAGGCCAGGAGGAAACTTTTGGGGGTGATAAATATGTTCATT